TGAAAACAGAGGATCCAAACAAATCGTACGTCCAAAGGCCGGTCAAGAAAGGCTGATCTCTGACTCTCTTTCGCTGTTGTTGCCATTGATAGATTGGTCTTCACGAATATAATCTAAGACTCTTTCTGCTTGTCCCTGTGTTTCTCTTTGTACATCATCAACTTCATTTGTCTTTCCAAATACATTAGAAAATATGGAAGAGATATATAAATATATCTCACTTCTCGCACGCTTATGACCTCCTTAACTTTGTATTGCGTCTCAGTCGAGTCTATACCTTTAGCCTTTAGATATTATAAACTATGATCTTTTTATGACTGTGGATCTTCGTGGTGTCTAATTATATTGAAATGTTTACGACAAGAGACCAAGAAAATAGCATGTTCTCTTCATAAATTTCATTTGACACAACCATAATGGTACAGACCCCACACCTTGGGGGTGAAAAGATCTCTGCTATGTACAGCACAAGCTCCAAAAAAGAACCAAAAGAAGAAAAATTACAACTTCGATATCTCAAAGTCTGAATCTTTGAATTCGTGTGATATATATATAAGTGACAATAACTCACAAGGGTGCGCTCCAAAGTACCGCTAAAACTGGTTTATTTGTTTCAAGCCTCCCAAGGATTGTTTCGCCTTGCATCTTTAGTGATTTGTCTTCTTCAACCCATAACATATAACCTGTTTAATGCTCCTCCGGTCCAAAAAATTCCTATTTCCCTCATGCCACTTGCTTGCCACGAGAACTCACCAAAACTTTTCCCTGAAAAGACATACGCAGAAAGCAGAATCAAATTTGAGAAACTAGTCATACTTTTCAAAGTTCATCAAAGAACCATATAACAAGAGAACACCAACTCAATGCAATTCCGCTCGACTTCTTCAACCAAAAAATACAATAGAGCTCTTAATCCTCTACTTACACTATAACCAAAGTTTTGCTTTAGACTCCATTTGAGAAATCCGAGTCTGTGATTAATGATGATTTATAACAACCTGAGTGCTCTTAATCCTCTACTTACACCCTAACCAAAGTTTTGTTATAATCAGCGTATAGCCACACTAGAGAGTGGTAAATAGTTTACTTATGATGCCAGGGCTTGATTGATCTAAACCAGTAAATCCCACTTCTCTTCAACGAAAAATATAGCAAAGTAATGGATCTAATAAGAGCACATTATTATCTTCATGGCAGATCTATCAGAAGGCAAAGAAAAACTAGTATACATGAAAACCTTAATAAATAATACAAAATGCTCTTTCTATAGCATTTCACTGATAAACTCCGAGTCTGATAACTGATCTTGAAAAATCCAAGTCTTATGTTACTACCACACCCAAAGTTCGGCTTTTGTTAATAAACATGTTTCCGACTAGATGGTTTAGATCAAACAAGGCCTAACTAACACTGCAACTGTCAATCAATCTACAGTTTATTACCTTGACCAAGTCAAACAGACCCACCACAATTCCCCGAGAAACATAGCAAATCATAAGGATGAAAGTAACAAAGGAAAGAGGCTTTGGAAGCGCTTACCTGCAAAATTTAATCTCTGAAGATCACAGAGTCTGCAATGGCCAACAAGGGCTTCAAGCAATCAGGGGTAAATTTGCGTGCGAAAAAGTATGAGCTTGAGTGACTTGATCGTCGGAGTTTCTTGATCAGCTCGGGCACGACTTCCTTCGGTTTGTAAGTATACGGATGCCCTTTCACAGTGCCAGTCCAGTTGACCCGGGTCAGGCTATACCCGGTGCACCCATCCGGATCCTTCATGTTCAGCAGCGTCGGGAAATAATGCTCCTCCGGGTAACACTCGTCGGAACGATAACACGGGAGCTTGAATTTGCGCCACAAGATCCGATCTTTGATTGTCAGCAAAGCATGTCTTCTGGTCATGACAAAGAACTGCGAACCCACGCGGAATTTCTCGAACGGGACCTCCGGCAACATAGCGTACCTCCCTCGAGCATTGTACCGTTTCCAGAGCCTCGGTTCATCGGATATGAGCTCGATAAAGCTCCGATACCAGATCCTGATGCCTCTGGGAGTCGGAGTTGGATCCGGATCAGACTTATCGAATGTGGAGGACTCGAAGAGGGAGGTGTAAACGTAGCTGAAGGAGTGGAGAGGTATGCAGTACTGGGAGAGCACGGCGAAGTAAGTGTTGGCAGGGTCGTCGAGGAAGGCGGTGGCTAGGAGGCGTCTTGTGGCGGAGATGAGAGTCGGGGAGGCCCGTGCGGTGCGCTTGGCGTTCGCTATGAAGGCATTCTCAAATACAGAGCCTTTCCCAGGTCTTGTGATGTTCACGAATGGATCGGCGTGGACATAGACGTTGTAGAGCGATTGGGGATGCCCAGAGAAGAACCGATCCCAGACTGGCGCGAAATGGAGATCTGAGTTGGTGAGGAATAAAAAGGCAATCTTGAGCTTCGGGTTAGGGCTTCCGGATGAGAGGTGGGAGAGGGAAGTTGACCCAGCGGCGGCGAGGAATAGGGTCTGGTCGTCGATCTCATCGGAGATTGGGATGAGAGATTCGCCGGGAGGAGAAGGGAAGACGTGTGGCGCGACAAAGAAGAAGACGATCGGGAGGCACAGAAGAAGGGAGAAGGAGAGGATGAACTGCTTCGAGTACATTTGGATAGAAATCGAAACTTCAATAGGGAAACCCTAGAAAATCCGACTCTCTTCAAAATCTTCCCAAAACTGAAAATCTACCGTAATGTGCGTAAATTCCCCATGAATCGACGGATTCTGCACTGACCCCTTTGCTCAATTTGATGAAATCAGGGGATTCCCAACACTAGAGCTCTGGGAAACTAAGAACTTCCACAGATTTGAGCGGTCAAATTGAAAAAAAAAAACACGAGATTCTCATACAGAAGATGAGCTTCCTCCGGCGATAACCCAAGACTTGAGCCTCTCAGATTGAGATGACTATTTCTTCTTTCAGAGCGAATCTCAGAAGGAAGAAGATGAAGAAATCCAGAATTAAACTCTCGACGCAGATTTTCTCCAGAACTATGGGGGAAAATCAGCAGATTTGAATCATAGGGATTTGTAGAATGAAAACTTATTGAGAGAATTTAGAAACTATCTTCAGATTTCGATAGTTAAAGAACAAAAATCAGAAAGATCTCTCACAGTCAGTGATGATGATAATATAGACGATAGAGATGACGAGATGATTGTTCCTCTGTTTTTCATTGTAAATTGACGCGAAAAAAAAAATTATGAGGAGACAGAAGGGTATTTATGTCAATTACAAACCGACAAGCGTAACCCCTGACGTCGTCAAGTTTTGTAAGTTTTTTTGTTTATTGGAGCGAGGGACGAGTTAACGGCAGTACTATGTGTTTCCGTTACTGATAAACGGCAATTGCTTTCATCGGTCGATAATGATGTGCCGATGCTATTTTCCTTTTTCTTTTATGTAATTTTTTAATAAACGCGAGGGTTTAATAAACAACTTAGATATTAAATGTTGTATCTAATTTCGGTAGGTCCAACTGATTTGGTAACTGGTATGCACTATGTGTTGGGATGTTTTAGTTTTCTACAAAAAAGAAACAAGAACACGTATTAGAACAATAAGTCAGCGAGAAAACACACATTATATGAGAGATTTTCGAGGTCGAGTCTTGAGGAATTCTCCAAATATACTTGTCACCCAATTTAAAGTGTTACAGTTTCGACTAAAACGCGAATATTGTACATAGCTTAATTCATCAATCTCATGACTGATGTGTCAGAGCCGAATCAAGTGGGTAGGACAGAAGTGTCCATGTGTGTCTCTAGGCCCATAGTCAAATTTAATTTTTTTTGTAAGGAAAAGCCAATTTCTTACTGTTACTTTTCGTGTTAATGACATGATTTCTGTAATTTTTGGTCCTAAGATCGTAAGCCTAAAATAAAAAATTGGGTTGGGCCTGCTAATGATGTGAAATGTTCAGTAATATAGGACTGTTTTGAGCATCGAAATTTTCATTTCTAGCCTTATCTGTCATTTTTTTAAAAAATGGTTACATATTTTTTTCACAGTTTGATGCAAAATGATTGCGATACCTCCCCGAGTAAAAATTGGTTAGTTATATGATTTTGACTTTTACAAGAATTAATTTAATATTGTTGTCGCAAAGTGATGCAAAATAACATATGCTTACACCACAGTTACTCGTACTTTCGAAGTTGGTAATAACACTCAACGAAAATTATGAGGCTGCTAAGTTGTAATTAACGACAACTTTGGACTTGATAGGATTGGTTTACAGTAACTCTTACCAATTGGATTCTTCGTGCATTTGGAAATCGATTTATAGGCAAATTGCAGCCACAAATCATATTTAACATAACAAGATTCGTTACAATTAAATTCAATTACACATGTTGATATGAAATTTGTCTCAATTAGATTCTAGGTGACGTTAAAAACTTTATTTTATCCAGAGGCCTATAAACATCTGTTTTTTTTTTACTGGTCAGATTATGTTTGATAATATTCTCAAATTATATATGAAAAGTGACAAAAATCATTGTATATTAAATTATTATATTTATCAGAAATTCTAAATAATTTTATTTTCTAGAAACGCATTAACGGAGGAGAATATATATGAACTTATTGATGTAATTTTTAAATTCATCTAATATATCCTTTTTTTCGTCAACAACCAACATCTAATATATCCTTTTTTTCCTTGATTTTTTATTTTGGCTAAATATCCTTTTATTCTTTTATAAATTTTCCCTTTTCCCATAGGAGAAGAAATGAATAATATAAAAAAAAAATGCTTAAAGGAAAAAAGGAAAAAAGAAAGATATAAAAAGTTCTGGAGTGTTCCGCTCCACAAGACCTTGAACAGAAGCAAACCCAATTAGTCTTCGAACAGCAGCCACAACAAACTCCGTCTCCCTCTCCTCTCTCCGCCATTAAAGGCTCGCGATTTATTCTCTCTCTCCCTCCCTCTGTTCTTTTAGGGTTTTCGTAAGAACGGAGAAAGATGTTCGGAAGAGGACCTTCGAGGAAGAGCGACAACACCAAGTTCTACGAGATCCTCGGCGTTCCTAAGACCGCTGCACCGGAAGATCTCAAGAAGGCTTACAAGAAGGCCGCCATCAAAAACCATCCCGACAAGGGTGGAGATCCCGAGAAGGTTTGAATTCTCCGATCCCCTTCTTAATTGCCCAGATTCACTGAAATTCAATCTGTGTTCGGCTTTGCTTCCTTTTCGGAAATCTCTTTTTTTTTCTGTAGTTTGAATTGGATTCTCCGATCTATTAGAGGTCGTGTGAGCTCTTGGATCTGAAATTTGCGAGTTTTAGGTCAACTGGTTGACGTGATTCTTTGGTTGGTATTTACAGATTGAAAAGAAAAAAAAGTTAACAACTTGTTTCTACATAGTAGATTTATGGTTCTGTGAATAGATTTTCGTGCAAGATCATTGAAACTTATAGCTACTCTGATATTTCACTTGACGATTTCTTAAATTTAATCTTTCTTTAGATGATTGTTAGTTGTTGTTGGGATTATAAATGTTCAGATAGCCAAATTTTCTTCTTTTGGCACTTGTGACCGTAGAAATTTATTGTTTTGGGGATTATGAGTACTTGATCAAGATATTTAATAATATATACTAAAACGTGTCTGTGCAGTTCAAGGAGCTAGCTCAGGCTTATGAAGTTCTAAGTGATCCCGAGAAGCGTGAGATCTACGATCAATATGGGGAAGATGCACTCAAGGAAGGAATGGGTGGTGGAGGCGGTGGCCACGACCCATTTGATATCTTCTCGTCCTTCTTTGGTGGCGGTGGAAACCCATTCGGAGGTTTGTCTCTCGAACAGTGCCTTTTCAATTCTCTCTTGTCACAATTGATTTTGGCTTTGAATAGATGATAAAAAGGGAAGTTACCTTTTTGTTTCTGAGCAGGTGGTAGCAGCAGGGGAAGGAGGCAGAGGCGTGGTGAAGATGTTGTTCATCCCCTGAAGGTTTCCTTAGAGGACGTTTATCTCGGAACAACAAAGAAGCTCTCACTTTCTAGGAAGGTCTTGTGCTCAAAGTGTAACGGGTTAGTATATGCGTCTGACTTGTCTTTCAAATTGTTCATCTTTGAGTATATTATGCAAGATGATTGAAAGAGTACTTCGCTGACATTATATTTGCTTTATGATGGCAGAAAGGGTTCAAAGTCTGGAGCTTCGATGAAGTGTGGTGGATGCCAGGGAACGGGAACGAAGGTGTCGATCAGGCAGTTTGGACCTGGAATGATTCAGCAGATGCAGCATGCTTGCCATGACTGCAAGGGCACAGGAGAGACCATCAATGATCGGGACAGGTGCCCACAATGCAAAGGAGAGAAGGTTGTCTCTGAGAAGAAAGTGCTTGAAGTAGCTGTGGACAAGGGAATGCAACACAGTCAGAAGATCACATTCAGTGGACAAGCAGATGAAGCGGTATGAGATACTCAGATTTGTCTCGCCTTTCTGATCTTTTATGTCATTTCGTCTATTGGCTTTTTCTAAATTTTGTTTCTTTTTCAATTGAAAACAGCCTGATACAGTCACTGGAGATATAGTCTTCGTCATTCAGCAGAAGGAGCACCCGACGTTCAAGAGGAAGGGAGATGATCTATTTGTGGAGCACACTCTCTCTCTAACCGAGGCTCTCTGTGGATTCCAGTTTGTCTTGACCCATTTGGATAAAAGACAGCTTCTCATCAAATCCAATCCTGGGGAGGTCGTGAAACCTGGTACGTATTTGACTTGTCCCAATCATATGATCCTCTTCTTTGTTATTTACTCCAGCTTTTCTCTCTGTCTTACCCTGGTTTGTATTTGGTGGTTGTTGACAGATTCATACAGGGCGATAAGTGAGGAGGGAATGCCGATGTACCAAAGGCCGTTCATGAAGGGCAAGCTTTACATCCACTTCACGGTAGAGTTCCCGGAATTTCTTAGCCTGGATCAGACGAAGGCCATTGAAGCGGTTTTGCCAAAGCCGACAAAGGCAGCTCTGAGCGATATGGACATAGATGAGTGCGAAGAGACGACGCTGCACGATGTGAACATTGAGGATGAGATGAGAAGGAAGGCTCAGGCTCAAAGAGAGGCTTATGATGACGATGATGAAGAAGGTCCGGGCGGCGCTCAGCGTGTGCAATGTGCTCAGCAGTGATCCGCATGCGGGTTTTAGTGATATGATCCAACATTTGCTTCTTCTTTTTCTTTTGTCGTTGTATTATTTTTGGGTCTTCTTTTTATAGACTTTGCCAATTCTCTGGGAAGAACCTCGTCCTAATTCAGATCCTTATTACAATTTTTGTTTGTTTTGAGAATAAACTTTGTAGTTCTTGAGATTTTGTCCTCTCCACCATTATCAATTGTGTCTGAAATGAAGAAGATTCTACCCAAAATTAAGGCTTCAATGTTCGACCTGACTTTCTCATGAACCTTCTCTCGAATTGGAATGGGATTAGACTTTTAGATTAGACTTGAGTTATGAAGAGATACCAACAAAAGTTCATTCATACGCAATTATACGTTAAAATATCACAAGGTTGTATAAAATAAGATACTATTCTTTTAGCTGTTATTATATTTAGAATCGTCTGAAATGGACCACATGTCATTTCAATTTGGACCATTCAACCACAATGCAGTTCACAAACCGGAACAAGGAACAACTAATTTATGTTACACACCAATCCAAGAATATATAAAGACCAATCTAAGTATTGATTAAAATGGCTAGGGGAAGAAAGGACGCGCGAAAACTAGTGGTTTCAATGGTAATTGAACGAAAGTTTTGCAAATAAAAAAAATTGATATAATGTGTGAAAACACAAAAATCTCCACCTACCAACCAAACTATTGGCAAACTAGAATTTTATAGTGTTGCTTAGCTTAGAATACGAGTTCTTAAGAAAATATTTTATTATATGAATTTGGGCTTGGTTCAGAATTTCCTAGAATTCAAATATTAAATATTTGGATTTCTTTTGGATAAAAAATTCTTCGGAAGTTTTCAAATTTGCTTACATTATTATATTTATACGAAGTTATATGCAATTTGTTTATGTAATTTATTTTAAGTTGTTCTTTGTCCATCTGAGCTTGATCATATGAGAGATGTCTACGATATTCGTAGTAAGCATCAGGCCCAGAACCTATAGAGTATTGAAAACTATACGAATTCGAGAGAATTTATGATGGAGAAAATGGTTATATTCGATTAGCGAAACACATAGGACTTATTTTGGAGGCGGCCGAAATGATATTTTCGAAATGAAATGAAGTATATATATTATATATAAATAAACAAGTTTTTATCCCATTTTGGAAGTGGCTGAGATGATATTTTTGAAATGAAGTATATATATGATGTATAAATAAACAAGTTTTTATAAAAAAAGAAACTAACTATATTTTAATTTTTTGACATTTATTCTTGGGCAACTATATTTTAATTTTGTAGGGAAATGTTGAAGATCTCAACCATGAAGAACTGGTTATTTCCACTATTTTAAAATTCTGTGATAATTTCTTAGAATTTTGGAAAGCTTAAACTTTTGTTGTTTTGTATGAATGTTAAATATTAGACTTCGAAAAAAAGTAACTATAGTTTCACCAATGATACCTTTCTTAACTCACACAATACAGATCTGAAAAATATTTTAGTACGTGTCCGTTCCCCCATGGAATTGAAGCTTATCCCTAAGTTTATTATAGTTGGGCCGGTTTGTGTAAATAGAAGCTCATAGTTGAAACATCCTTCTGTAAAAATAAGCATGTTGAGGATCACACGACACAAGTTGTATAGCGTAGCTGATGATGCGTTACATCAAGACACAAGACTAGTACAATGATGCTACTCTTTTAGCTGTTATTACATGTAGAGACTAGTACAATGATGCTACTCTTTTAGCTGTTATTACATGTAGAGACTAGTACAATGATGCTACTCTTTTAGCTGTTATTACATGTAGAGACTAGTACAATGATGCTACTCTTTTAGCTGTTATTACATGTAGAGACTAGTACAATGATGCTACTCTTTTAGCTGTTATTACATGTAGAATCGTCTAAAATGGACCAAGCGTGTCAATCTCAATTTCGACCATTCAACCACACTTTCAGAAACAAGGACTAGTTTATGTTGCAACATCAATCTTCTTCTGTAGATACCGGTATACATGTGTGATCGAGAAGGAAGGTGGCTCGTACCTCGTTTTTATACAGAGTCGAGCCACGGCTAGAACTTTCTGGAGTTCCCTAGAGTTATAGTTGTTACCGAGATCTGGATCAATCATCTTATCAATGGAGTTTGCAATGCACGAGTGTTGTACCCATTCGATCAAGTCTTCGCCTTGTCTGTCTGATGATTGCCCTGTGATCAGCTCCAGCATCAACACTCCTAGCTGAAATATCACGTTTCCACATTCCTCATCCGCACATGATCCTACACGCCCGTTCTTAAAACCGTGAGTAAAAGCGCGTGAAAGCATTGATCTTGGAGAGAAGATAAATCATTTTATACCTTCTGAGCAAGAATCATTGGTTGTTTTTGGGTGGCTTTTTGTGTGTCTGTTGATGCGGATATCTGAAATCTGTAAGAGGAAGATTTCAGTTACTCACAATCGGTCTGTCTCTTACGGAAATTTTGTACCTTAAAACTTACTTTGGGGGTGAAGTTTTCATCCAACATGATGTTACATGAATTCACTGAAACATCATATATCTGCACATCGCTGCTGCTGAAGATTAGCAAGTATTCCTGCGTTCAAAGTGCCATATCATAAACCATCTTCTCACTCCCTTTCATAGTTACTACTATTAATGATGATGTTTAGAAGCAAACTTACTAATGCAGCTGCGACTCCAATGGCTATTTTGATGCGAGTCTTCCAGTTCAAAGGAGTCTTAAGAGGATCTACCAAGAAAGAGCCACAAGTTTCAATAAAAGGATCGATTTTGTTTCGAAACCTATGTTTTGAGGTTTTTTTTACCATTGAGGTGTTCTTTCAAGCTTCCATTTTCAATGTTGTCATACACTAGCAGCCTGAAATGTAAGAAGAAGAAGAAGAAGAAATCAAAAGCAAAAAAAATCGAAAACATGTTTCTTTCTAAGTCTCAGGAAATCAAGGAAAACCTCTTGCGTCCGGTGCAAAAGCCACGAAGTGTGAGGAGATGGCGGTGACGTAAGCGTCCCAAGAGTTTCACTTCCTCATAAAACACCTCTCGTCCAAGATCAAGAGACTTGAGCTCTTTGACCAAAGCTACCTCACCACCTTTGAATCTGGCTCTGTATGCAGAACCGTGATAGTTGCTGTAGATAACCTTGCGGAAACTTTCCGTTGCCTTCGCCATCTCCTTGTAATCGAATCGTCTCACAAATTCTATCCTCCCTGTGATAATGGCGCAAGTGAAAGGTTGTATAAATTGTTCCACAAACATAACACACAGCACAGACAAAGAGCCTACAAAATTGAAATGGTAGCTCAAATAGTATGAAACTGAGGGATTTCACCAAACTAACATTGAGTACATCAACCTTGAGGAAACGCAAGAACTTAATAACATGGTCTCACATAGAACTCAAACAAAGTCACTCAAGTCAAATGGTTCATGAAACAGAGCAACAGCCAGATTTATGGAACGAATTGAAATCTAGACGAAAATGAGAGAACAGTGAATACATTGAAACTTGTTTTTCACGAAATTAGCACGAGAATGGAACAGAGTAGTAGCAAATTATAGTTTCTGAAGCATTGACCCAAACTCGACTAAAACATTTCACCGAATGATTATGACATCTGTGCAGTAGAACATTGGCAGAAGTGATTTGAGATTAAAGTACAACGAAAGGCAGCATAAACTAAGAAGGCCAAAATCAAGTCCAGAATAGTGGAATCAACTCTACAATAATCTGAAAAGTCGCATATGATAAAAAATGAAAATAAACTATAAGCTGGAATATGAAAAAATCCCGGAAAAATAAGCGAGATTCCGGCGAAATTGTCGTTTACCGGAGCGAGAACGACGGAGCCAAGCAAGAAGGAGAAACCGGATTCTGCGGGTCAAGCGAGCTCGATCATCCATGGCGATTCCTTTCATCACTGTTTCACGAGCTCACTTTCTCTCTCTATATCTGATTTTTTTGGAAATCGACGAGAGGAGAAGATTGAGGAAAATTGGATCTGATGCTTTCTTGGAAGTTTTGGGAGTGTCACTTGTACGACATGACTCACATGAGCTGTAAATCTCACTCACGCCTTTTTTTTCTTCCTTTTCCATCTTCTTTTAGGCTTTAGTTAATCATAACGGTTTTTCTTAATACCGTAGTTTGTTAATAGAAAATTAAATTATTGCTCCCTGCCTTCTTTTGTTTGTTTGTTAAAAATCTAATTTTGTCTACCAAAATCTATTAACTAATCATGATTAGGGATATTTTTCTTCCTGCCTCTTTTGCTTCACGACCAAAATTTCTATCTCCTTCTTATTTTTCAATAAGTTTTTTTTTTTATTATATGTTCAAATTTAAAATTCTTATTATTTTTAAATCTGTTTAGTAAATCTTCATAGGAATGTGTTATTATATACCACAGCAAATTACAGTTTAGAGCTTTTTATAATGGAAAACTCTGGGCAATGCAAATTTCGTAGGTCGTGTTTCCAATAGATTGTGTAATTTCTGCCGAATTTACTAGTTTACATATTTTATAGAAAATGAAAAATTTATGTGATATGATGTTTTAATTTGTATAGTTTAACGAGTGAAAGAGAAAAGCTCTGTGTTTTTTTTTTTTACCTTTTTGGCTTTTTCTGTGTCGCGCGTGTGTGTGTGTGTTAGAAGACTTTTCACGCGCTCCCTGTAGTGTATAGTAACATACGGATCATACACGGCACAGATCCGACCCGGTGGCCCAATTGGAGAACCAGTATCCACCAAAAATCAAAACTGCGTATCGCTCTTCTTCCTCGCCTTTCTCCGGCCTTGTGGTGCTTCTTCCGGCTTCAGTGTGGCTTCGAGTACGTTAAAACTCTCTAATTTCATCCTTCTCTTCTCCCATTTAACCTTTTAATTTGATTTCTTATTATCAGTGAGCTTGTTTTATAACTTTTATGAGATCGTCCATGTTTTTTTCCCTTGTGAGATTCGATTTTCGTTTTCAATTGTGACTATTCAAGTCTCCCAGAGATTCTTCATATCAAACTGAAATCGGAATACGGAATCCTTGTGACTGAGAAACCGTGAGATGAAAATTTTGATATTGTTCTTTAAGATTGTTGAGCTGTAAAGATCTTTTAGTCGTAGTTTTAAACTTTATTGGGTTATCTTCCCCATTCACTTTGCCGCGAATTGGGTTCCTGTTATAGCTCTAATTCAAGTGTAGGCATTTGGAGCTTGTCTCTGCTGCTATTTTGGGTTGCTTGATACTTTCTGCTGCAGAGTGAGTAGGAAGTATGTAGCTTTTCATGGATGATTGAAGTGGGATTGTTTGGTTTCATATCGTGGAAAGTCCCGTGTGATTGTTAATTAAGCTTTGTAGAGAAAACATCATGCTACAACGTTTAGCATCTCTAAATATGAATGACTCCTTCGCTTTGGGATATCGTTTTTGCGAGATGATGTACAGTTTTGGGTCAAAGGTTGAAGCTTTATAGCTGAATGGTGTCTACATTTTAGATTGTATTTCTCTGCTGGTTTATCTTTTTTTATGTCCTTACTTCTTAGTTGGTATCCGAGATTGCATAACTTTGTTATTCCTGTCATGAAGCGTTACCTGTCAACTTTGTAGGGTTGAGATTGAGAGGGAGTATAAATGAGAAGACAGGGAAACTTTGCGGACTCACCTGCTAGTGCGTATGGAGCTGGACAGATACAGAATGCACATTCTGACTTCCAAGGTCAGTTAGAGGCATTCACGCCTGAGAGGGACCAACCGTATCCAGACTCACAAACAGAAGGTCAATGGAGATGGGAAAGAGATGGCCCAAATATGTCAAGGCCAATGGCAACTCCTATTTACAATGAAGGTCAGTCTTTACTTACTGCATCGGTTTTCATAACTATAGTTATACGGAATAGGAATCATCGTGTGATGGGTTTGCTTCGTAAGTCTCTATAACTAATGATATACTTGTTTAGTAAGTCTTGGTGAATTCAACAGTTTCTGTATAAGCTACTGTACTGTATCAAAGCAATGCTCATATCCAAAAGGAATCATATCTTCTGTGGCATTTTACGTGAGATGAGAGGAATATTAGCTTTTGTAGAGATAAACCGTAAGAGGAAAGACAACAGTGATATGATTCCTTTTGTAGATCCTCGAGTGTGTCCTCAAGCCTTAGGGTTTATCTCTTGATTCTGTTTATGCAGGTCAAGGCGTTGATTCATCGAGGACGACGTATTACCGCGGCCAAATGGATGCACAATCAGGAATGGAGAAGCAAAGCAGCAACCCAAGAGCGCAACCACAACACCAAGAAAACCCGAAGCCTGGTTATGAGAGTAACCGTGGGATGCAGACCTTTGAAGGTCTTGAACAGAAGTTCATGGATGATATAACAAGACTAGCAAAGGATCAAATCGAAGCAGAGGATGCAGAGATTGCAAGACATCGAGAGGTTAGCACCAAACTGTGGAAAGTCCTGCTACTGAAGTACTCTAGTCTGGTTTTTTTAGTGTGTTGATCTGAAATCTTTTAACTCTGTATACAGAAAATAAACACCATTAATACTCGGTACGAAGAACAGTTAGCTGCCTTGAGAGCAAGGCACACAGGTAAAAGAGAGGAGATCATGAGGAAAGAATCACAAGCTAGGCAGCAACAATACAAGCAGCAAAGCATGAGGATGATGGATCAGTACCATCCAAACGCGGTCAGTGTAATGCCATCTGGTCATCCCCAGGGTTACATTGGGAATGCTCAAGATCCAGCGGCTGTGGGGGATGCACCATCCAGATCCTACGGCTCAGATCGGTTCGAAGCATATGGAGAGAGAGCTAGGTTTCAGGGCGGAACCAGAGATCACGGGTTCGAGTCTAGGGGTCAGTACCCTGGTGGGACCAACTACGACACAGTCTCACGGTTCTATTGATGTGATATTTACTTGAACATATTGTGTTTTAGGGGATTGCCTCCCACTTCGTTTTTTGGCTTTATAGATCAATTAATCTTTTCAAACTTTTTAATAATGTATTTCATTTTCCCAAATCATTTTCATTACATATTCAATCAAAGAAAAGGAGTTAACCGGTGAAAGAAAGGAAAAAAACAATTAAAATAAGATCAACTTTAAGCCATTTCCATCTCGATGTTACCGGGCGAGATTTGGTTCTTCTTGTTACCGAACCTTTTGAAGCACCACAGGAAGAGAAAGCCTAGAGCAATGATGGAGACAACGATGAAGACTATTAGATAGAAGGCTTTCGTGTTAACTGGATTCTCTAAATGTTGACCAGCCATTTTGAAGTTTGAATACAAGAGAGAAGTGAGAGGATGAAGATGGTTTTAAACTAGTCTAACAACTGTTCATTTACACAACTTAAAAGTTGAATAGTAGCCTTGCATTTACCTAACTGATATAGCAAGATGATGATCGTATGTATATTCAAGAGAAAGCCAAAGAAGGAGCCGTTGATTCATGTATCCGCAAAAGAAAGCTAGGAGGACACGGAAAGAAGACTTCTTACTGGTAGTTACTTGACTTACTACTGCTTTCTATTTTTTTTTTACATTTGATGTGATTAACTTGTGGCTTAGTAAAACAAGAAACAATGCAAGAGCAAGCAAGAACTTCAATGATATAAAAGCACACAAGAAGAAGAAGAAGAAAAGTCGGCTTCTGCTCCATGTAACAAAGCCTAAAAAAGAAAAGCGTATTTCGGAGAGATACGGAGGATCAAAAGCATACGAGTGTCACGTTTGAGATATATAACTTCTTGGAGAAGGAAGATGTTCTCGTGAGCTATGGTCATTTGATTTTCTGTTTCTCATAATGAATGTAAAGATAGCTTCTTAATCTGATTGCAACCCACGTAACTATCTCAGGCATACAATGTCTGTGGGGGTGCTCAACTTCTTGCAAGTACTTGTGGAGAAGTCTACCATCATCCATATTCTGGAGCAAGAGAAGGAAGGACTTGTATTAATCATTCAAATTCTGTTTTTGGCTTCTTCTCCTTCACTCTCCCTCTCTTTCAAATTCTCTCAAACACTCGACTAGATCCTCCCAAACAAAGCTTCTTTCGATCTTCCTCTAGAGTGGATTCCTTCTTAAAAGTAAGTCTTCTCTATTTGTTTTGTTTAACGATAATTTTCTTTTCTTTTTCAAGTTGTATGCGATAATTTTAGCCTCGTAGGGATAGACAAAATGATCGATACCCTTTATTGATTTGATTACTTTGAATAAACAAGACAAAAAAGTAACAACGTAAAGGGTATCGATCATTTTTATCCATTAGTGAAAATATAGTATCTGCCAATTGTCTGGGGAAGATTGACTCAACTCAACCAAACAGTCACACCCACCATATTGTCTAGGGAAGACTCACGAACACAAAGATTCGAAGAATTTACTCATTATTATCATTTATTTTGTTGAGAAAATTATAGCAATATTTCTTCTAGAATGTCAAATAGAATAGCACATTAATCAATCATTTACAAGTTAAAAACTAAAAATACGTTAACTTTGAGAAAAAAGAAAGAAACAATCTAAACTTTGAGAAAAAAGAAAGAAACAATCTAACTTTATAAAATTTTGTATTTTATTAATTAATGATAGATTTTATTAAATGCGAAATTCAAAAATAATACCAATGACTTATCAAACTCCACAAGAATTTCCTCCAGGACCACCATAATTGAAGAAAAACCCGAGTTCAGATTTGTGAAATATTTTTACCACACCAATTCTTAGCCAATAACAATTTTTACTATCTACCAAGTATTCTATAGAATCTATTTTACTTGGCTTATAGTTAAATTTGAAGACTTCAACATTCGTAATTATTGATGAATCTCTGCGCCCTTTTGCTGAATCCGCTTCATCTTTACCCGGAAATTTACCATTACCCATTGGAGGGCTTGAACCAGAATGTGAAGCCTGAACCACACCTCTTACTCCAGCCATATTTACACCATTGCTAAATAGATTAAATAGCTCTTTTGGCCAATATCCAATATCTACATTGGGTACATCTATATCTGCATCTGTCTGCAGTTGTGTTATCCACCAATTTCCTGTATTTTTATCCTTTGCACATATATATTTATAGACAAAACCAATCAGTTATTAATATAAAAACTAGCAGTAAAAATGTGCTAATCAAATTACTTGAAGGGCAAAGTGCATATACGAACTAGTTAAAGAGGTTATAGTCACATAAATTGATCACTAATTTGATTATATAAATTACATGATTCATAGAACCTTCGCTACTAGTACGTGTGAATACCATACGAATAAAGAAGATATCTGATGGATTGAAGGATGCGCATAAAAAAGCTCTCCCGGCTTAAGATCATGGGGTTCAACTATAGGAACTACTTGTGATACTTGAACAAATCTTGGACACGCGGTATTGTAACATCCTAATCCATCTTTACCCTAAAATAATTATAGGTAAAAATTTGTTGACTTAAATATTTCAGTAAGTATATTGTCCACACAATTGACAGAAACCAAATACATGCAAATCTTCCAAAATGCATATGACTAAAGACGACTGTCGCCAAATTGACTTGGATTTATCTGTTAAAAAGATATGTAATACATTTTAAGACTATTCAAAAAGATCAAATTAATTAAAAGGGAAAAATAATAAAATATAAAACTTACCATCAATCCCGTTGAAATAAAATTGACTTCATTATTCAGCCCACTGCCTATATATATTTGACTATATGATGCTTGATCTTGTTCGATGTTTAAGTTAAATCCATTAAACCAAGCTGCTACACCATGATATGGACCATTAAACGACCTTACTCCGGCGATCTACCAAAAATCGGTTATAATAACATATTTATATATACATTAATACTTCAAATATACATATAACAAAATACTAGATCTTAGATATTAGGAGAAAATTAAGTGAATGTTTTACATGTGTTCCAGGACTATCGGCTGTTAATAGATGAAAATATTTCTTGGCAGAAAGTTGAGCGTTGATGATGAACTCTTTTGTATTTCTCAATACAGGAACGGTTCCATGAGGACATTTTCTTTTCTTTTCGTGTGTTTTGTTGTTGCCAATTTGACTTTTTAATTTATTCCTAGAAACTGATGGTTTTATTTTTTCAAACGAAAAAATATGTAGAATTTATTTTAAAAATGACATTTCATAAAAATAAAATATACGTCAGAGATGAATATGCACCCTACTTGGATCGTATGGTTTTTAAGCAAAGGATGATTAAGTCCTGATTGCTTATAAATATCTATACAATCGTATGTTATATTTTCACCTATCTGCCAATGACACATAAAGAGATGTGAGATTCTCTATGACAAAAGGGCGATACGATGTTAATTTCAGTCCATGTTAGAAAAGAAAATGATGTTGAACTAATTAAGTAGATGAAAATAATAGAATGGAAACATGTGTCTAAAATTTTTGTTTAAAACTTAAAAACTAACCTTAAAGGATCTGAGAGGCACCGTGCTTTGATCGGAACGAACCAAAGCTAACGAGAATAAGAGAAGTACGAGATTCATAATGAGAGCCATTCCACTTCCTCTTGACACTTTTTTTTGTTGCGTCTTCAAGACTGAAAAATGCCTATTATTTATAACGCATATTCTGATGTCAAGGAAAAAAATAGCTAAATAATTAACACTACATTTGATTTTATTTGTTTTGTTATTTAAGGTAACACACGTATTTAACGAGAATAAAATATTTGTTTGACGTTGACCACAAAAAATAAATATTTGTTTGACATTTTTTCTTAAAGGGAAGACTACTTTATATAGCATAAATCCGTTGTTTTATTAGCAAAATATCTCTTATTTTATTTTTGTTAATGACAAAATGTATGTGCCCATAATAGCTTTCAATCATTCATAGATAAATATGTTTTATCTACAGAAAGAAAACATAAAAATACAATTGTTCTTTATCATATCAAACATTTCTCTAAATATGATCGAAATAGGTACACATGACATTTTGGCTAAAGTCTGATTTGATCCATTTGAAAAGCCATAGAAATTATATTTGTTAGTGACAAAATATAATTGCCCAACATAGTTTTTAATCCTTTGTCACTAAGAAATATATTTACATAATTATTGGATATGATTAAAAACAGGCGTTTTGCTATAGAAGTTGTAGGTTTTTTTACAATAATTGTAGGATTTTTACAGTAGAATTTTGTAAAGCCTAAACTTATTTATTTTAGAAAAAATGATTTTTATAACTAATAAAAAAGAAAAACAAAATTTTTATATATGAATAAAAAAGGAAAACTAAAGTTTGATTTAATCCATTTTAAAGCTATAGAATTTTTTTACTGTACCAATATTTTTAAACCCGAACCAATTCGGCCGGTCAGATTGGTTTTATCGTGATCCAGCTATAATATCCTGGTCCGGGTAGCTGTTAAAAACCGAAATGTGAAAAATCCAGATCAGCCTAAAAACCGATTAAAACCAGCAAACCAGTAAATTAATTCCAATTTACGAATCTTAAGATGTTAGATGTTGGTTCTCACACCCAATCCAATTTGAAAATTCGATATAGCTACTTATATTGAATCGATAATGTATTTCTTCTTTCTACAGTTCAATTAGAGGTTTCAAAAAGAATGGTTTCCAAATTTTCCATTATAATTGTTAAATAAATAACAATTTGATGAAAAATAATATTGTTTACATATATATATGTGTATTCAAATATAATTTTATTTTATTTGTTAATAGAAAGTATGAATCTATAAATGATCAGATTATGCATCATTGAAACCAGCAATGGGGCAACGACCAAAAAAAAAATAAAGCGAGAGATCAAAGAGGTTAAAGGAGTGACAGCTTTTTCTCAATCTTTTTCTACTGGAACTTTTTCAATTTCTTTTAGAACTAAGGTTAGAGTCTAGTGTTAGAAAATAAACAGACGAAAAATGTAAGAAAAACAAAATTAGAAAAGAGGTTAAATATGCTTGTATATATTTTTTCTTCTACTGGTAATATAAAATGTGTATATTATTTGTTTCTGACTGACTTAACTGGATAAAGACATGCGTTTCCGTTGTCAATAAAGAAGCTCGACTAAAATGATTTTTATTGACAAAAATTTACAAAATTGATGGTAAATCTACCTCTTTGTTTGTTTTTTTGTCAGCATAATTTACAATTCTGTAAAATAAAAATTAATCATATAAATTTCCCTCCTTCCCTTATATCATCTTCGTGAGGGACGACACTTCCCCAAAAAAAAAAAAAAAATTTGTTGGGCCAAATCTCTCTAATTTTCCTGCGTTGTATAGATGCTGATTGTCTGAAAAAATATCGGTCATCCTCTCCATATCTCTCTCTACAAATCTTGCTTTTGCCAATCCTGTGTGGAGGAACAATGAGCGCGGCATCGTCCGACGAATCTCCCGATTCAACTCAGCGGATCGATTCGTACAACGGCGAGCAGAGAGTCTACTTCGTCCCGTTGAGGTATCTCCTCTCCGCCTCTCATACTCTCTCTCTCTCTCTCTCTCTCTCTCTCTCTATCGGCATTTTTTTCTCTCTTTCGTGTTGTCCATCTTCCTTCTGATTGGAATATTCTGCGAATCTGAGTCGCATCCGAGTAACTGAGGAGCTTGATTCGAATGGGTTGGGTTTGAATCTTGTAATTGATTTTGATCTAGGGATTCTGGATCCTTTTCGGATGAACATCGTAAACCTGGTCCTTGTTTTTGAGCTTTATTGCGATGTATTGCTTCCACAGCTAGCGGAAGAAAATCAAATGGATGCGATTTGAATTCTACTATATGATTTTATGTCGCGAGATTTGCATTTATATGCCCTGAGAGTGGTTTTGTTTGTTTGTTCGCGTACTTCAACAAGATTAGAATGATCTTCGATGATATACATTTCTCATTCATTCAGGTCGTATTAACAATAGATTCAGTTAACCAAGTCGATATTCGAACTTGAGTTTCAGGTGGTGGAAAGATGCCCAAGATGCAGTGCCTTCTGAACCAGTTGAAAGAAAAGAGGTCTTGTATACAGCAACAACTGGGTTGTCATATGGAGGCCCAATGAAGTTGATAAATAACATCTTTAACTCCGATATTTTGTTCGACCTGAGGAGAGAAGGGGACACGTTACAGAATGGTGAAACGGGAGAAGCAAGCGTCTCAGGCAGGGACTTTGCTTTGGTCTCAAGTGATATGTGGCTGCAGGCACTCAAATGGTTAGTGTCGTTTCCTCTCTACATATCTGATGGTCCCTTTTCAATTCTTTCACTATACTTGTCATTTTAGTGTTACATTTCCTATTGAGTTGACAATATGATCTTGCATATAGTTGGTAACTTTTACATGTATAGGGTTTTCTGTACACTACACCTTTTGAGTTGACAATATGATCGAAGCGAAGGTGGTTTCCTTAATTTGTGGTCTATTACTTATTGGTTTCCCAGGCATCATGACGATAAAAATACTGAGAGAGGGGTAAAAAGTTTCTCGGCTGGAGGAGTTGACAAAGGTGATGTTTATCCAGTGCAACTCAGGCTCTCCGTTTTGCAGGAAACCAATTCATTGGCGGTTAAAATTTCCAAAAAGGTTTCTTCAAACTTACAGCCTTTATTACTTGCCAAATCTACTGCCTTGATGGTGCCACTTTTTCTTGCTGCTATAGAAGTGTTGTGATCGACTTTCCTCTTTTAAGATGATAATTTCTAAACCGGATTCTTTTGGGACCTGGTTTCATTAGAACTAATGTTTCATAACTGAAATTCCCTACCAGATGAGCCATTACTAAACTATAGCCTATAGGTTTGAAGATTCATGCTTGAACTATATTAGAATCAACCTCGCTTCTCTGATTGTTGTTGTTTCAAGTTCCAAATCTCATGTCTTCCCTCATGCAGGACAATTCAGTTGAGTGCTTCAGAAGAGCATGCAAGATATTCAGTTTGGATTCTGAGCAGGTAATGTGTTCCATGCATGATCTTTAACGTACTATGTACACGATATTCAGGCGGTATTACTGATACTTGTTCATGCAATTACAAATTTCATCGGGTGCTTTGGTTCTGTAGTTGCGCATTTGGGATATTTCTGGCCAAACAACCTTGTTTTTCGAAAGTGATTTGAGCAATTCCATGGATGGTCAACAACAAACAGATCAGGAAGTAAGTGTGATGCTGTTTGAGTGAATGCGAATATTGCTGTCGCCTTAGTTTAGACTTTCCTTCCCTTTTCCTTTCTTTTTCTTGTATTTCTGATGTGGTATTTCTTATCTATCATTACTTTTGGTCCAATAGATGCTCCTGGAGCTGCAGATTTATGGGTTGTCAGACTCCATCAAATTGAAGGATTCGAAAAAGGAAGATGGTTCAACACAGCAAACCAATGGGATTACTAATGGCATTAATGGTGGCTCAACGTTCAGATTTGGACGGAGTAATTCTTTGAGCTTTTTGGGAAAAGCTGGAGAAGCTGGAACTTTAGGGTTAACAGGCTTGCAGAATCTCGGAAATACTTGTTTCATGAACAGTTCACTTCAGTGCTTGGCTCACACACCAAAGCTTGTTGACTTCTTTCTTGGAGAGTACAGTAGAGAAATAAATCTTGACAACCCGTTGGGAATGAAAGTATGCCAATAATTACATTTTATCTGTCGTGGCTAATTAATATATTCTCTTGCTTCTTGGTTAGCCTCACCGATCAAATTTTCTTCTGGCAGGGTGAGATCGCCCTAGCTTTTGGTGACTTGTTAAGGAGTTTGTGGGCTCCAGGTGCATCAACAGTGCCCCCAAGGACATTTAAAGCAAAACTTGCTCGATTTGCTCCTCAGTTTAGTGGCTTTAATCAGCATGATTCGCAGGTCAGGGAAAACACTTCAGTTTATAGAATCTGAATTAAGTGAGCCTTCCTTATGTTTCATCCTGTCTCTCAGCATTATTGAGCGCAAATTGGGATATTTCATTCATGTTTTTCAGATTTCTTGATTTGGTTGCAGGAACTTCTAGCATTCTTGCTGGATGGACTCCACGAGGACTTAAACCGTGTAAAGAACAAGCCTTACGTGGAAGCAAAAGATGGAGATGGCCGTCCAGACGAAGAAGTGGCTGATGAATATTGGCGAAATCATATGGCTCGCAATGATTCGATAATTGTTGATGTGTGCCAAGTAAATATCTTCAGGTTCCTGAATTGTTTATATAATAACTCTGCCGACATCACTCTAAGGATCGGGTTTTGCGCATTAGGAAACTTTAGTTTGACCTCTGCTTGAAATTGTTGGATGGCTTAAGCTGTGTAGTATTCTGGTATCCAAGTCGTAGGTTTTACATATCATTTTTTTATCTAAGCTGCACATGTTTGAAATTTCTTCCATCAGATTGGTCAGTGCATTTGTGTATTCTTGATTTTAAGTTCTGTGCACATACTATTTCTTTGTTCTTAAAGAAGATATTACCCTGCTGAATATTATGTCAAGCTGTTAGACTATTCTCTGTACGCAAAATTGTAAAGAAGTGCTTTGTGTTTGATATGATGCTCTTTGCACTTTAATCATCTGATTAGGCCATGAACTTTTATCATCCTGGATATCCTCATCTTCTTTGGTTCAGTGCTTTTGCTA